CCCCATCCCCCAAAATGAACCTACCGTGGTGAACAACTGCACCTGGAATTTAATTCCCCAAACGAGCCGCTCCCAACCCCCAATATTTTTATTTTTTTTTCAGCCCGACTCCCACGGCCACCCGACACCCAACCACCCGAAAATCACGCCCGACCCCCCCCTCGAAGACCCTGTATGGACGGCCGGAATCCTGTACGTACGGCCCGTACGCACGACAGGGGTCCCGTACGTACGGTCGTACGGGAGTGTGTACGGGCCATATACGTACGGGCGACGACACAGCCTCCATTAGACATGACTTGCTTGACCAAATTGTTGGGCTTAGTACAACAGTTGATCCGCATGTGTCCCAAGAGTGTGAGTATTTGCATCGACGGTGTGAAACAGCCGAGAGTTGATTGAGAAAATTGTTGCCGGCGGGTGCTTTGTCATCGATTGATCCTTCTTTTGCATCAAAGGTATTTGAACTTCCATAACGTCGAACTTTAGAAGAGCTTCCGAAAAGTTGTTTGATTGGTATGTTGCAATCATTGCGAGCAGTTGGTGTGGAGCTTGCACATAGAAATGCGTTTTTGGAGGTGCAAAATACAATGAGGTTTCCGGTAAGCAATAGTCAGTTGAGAGCGACAGTTGTTACTCTCAGACAATTGTACAAGGAGGCACGAGAAGAGTTAATGGACGATGTGTTTCAACATAGTTTTTCGGATCAGTGCGGTGAGGGACTGACGGATGGCATGATGGCGAGTTACAAGGAACAGTTGTATAGTCTCAGAATTTTGTTAGCAAATATCAGTGGTCCTCATTCGACGGTGCGGGTTATGAAGGAGATGGGCCATGTAAAAAAATAATTAAATGCTCTCGCAAGCATAAATAAAAAGCATGAGACCAGATTGTATGAGGTGGTGCTTGCATTGGTTGAAACTTTAAGGCGTCAATGTCCAAAGTGTGGCCGCTTAAGCTATTTAGCAAAGGGGGACTATAGAAAGATAAATGATTTGACGGTTGTTACACCTACGTGTGACAACACGACAAACCTTTATCCCAATGGAGATTTTGTTGTTGATGAGGACGAGAAGTTCGCAATGGAAGAAAGGAGAAGGCAGCTTCGTGGGCAGGACGATGTAGATCAATAGTGTTGTTGTTTTTTTTTTGTCGCATATGCATTAGCTGGTGTTCCAGTGAGAATAGTACGAGAGGGAGCAGTTAGAGTCGGAGGGAGAACGGGGACGTGGGGTGGGATGACGAGCAGAAATGCGTGCTTTCACATTTGTTCATTTTATTGAGGATGATGACACTTGAATGGGTTTATGATAAAATGTTTAAATTCACACTTTTATTTGAGTTTTCTCTCTCTCTCTCTCTCTCTCTCTCTCTCTCTCTCTCTCTCTCTCTCTCTCTCTCTCTCTCTCTTCTT